CTGAAAAACATGACAGGGGAGATAAGCAGCTGATAGGCTGAAGGTGAAGGAGAGCAGAGAAGACGCGTGCTTCATTGCTACGAGCTTCTCTGGGCTCTGCACAGATCTCTGGCTGGAATCCAACAACAGTCACATATTCATAATCTCTCAAAACCTGTCAATTACCTGATGAGGGTTTAATGCAGTTACTGGAGACTATATAAATTAAGTGTGGACTTAACACGCACACAATGAATCATATAAAACACAAGCTCACCCTTATACTTGCAAATATTTGCTGTTCATTTTCTCAATTAAAGTGAACCTGTGAGGATAAAATATGGAGAGTGGCATTGCTGACTTGTTTTTTAAATGACTCTGGGGCTATAATCCTCCTCCTGGCTTTACATCTTTCTGCAAGCATGCAGTCAATAAAGTGTAGGGATGCCTAATACATACATACCTATTTTACATCAGTGAGGCAAATTACAGATGACAGCTATAGAACCTGCGTAAAGTAGCAGCAGCTCCCATATTTTCTTATTTATAATACTTACCTTTCTGTCCGTAGATTTTACAATTTTTAGAATTCTTTACTTTGCTGTGTCTTTTCAGCTCCTATACACATACTGTATATATACTATATATATTGTGATATTGGGATGCTTAGCTCAACGGTAGATGCGTTTTTTTAGTGAGTTCACGCAGGATAGGAACTAAACTTAAGGGCCTGGTAGCCCACTTTTAATCACTAACTAAAAAGTCCTTTCAACACAAGGTTTCCTATGCAGGGGGTTTTAACTTCACTCAAAATAATACACAATAGAATGCTAAGCCACCTGGCTCTCTGGTTAGCAGTACCTCTGCTTAGCTTGGTCTCCCAGACCACTGGCTATTCAGGCTCTCTCAGCCTAGGTAACAGCTCCTTTTTGTTCAGGCCCCACATGGCCTCTTGACAGAGTTTTCCTTGTTCCTCAGCTTGCTTCCTCTAGAGACTCAGGGATTCCCTCCAGCCCCTTAGACTCACTGACCTCTGAGCTTGCTCAGCCTCCCAGACCTTTTCTTGGTCTCCCAGACTCTCGTAGCTGGCCAGACTTTCCCAGTCCTTAGGCCCAGAACCCCCCTCACAAGGGTTGTAGTCTCCACCAGGAGCTTCCAGCTCTCCTGACAGATCTCTGTCTTTAGGCTTGTAGCAATAACAACTGCTATTCCACCTCCACCACTTTTGAGTTTTGCTCAGATCTGCCTTATAACAAGTGTGTGCACCCGGACACACACACACACACACACACACACACACACACACCCTGCAGAACTTCTGAAAAATCTGGACACAAGACTGAAGACTCCATCCCACCAAATACTCTTTGGAGCCTTCAAACTTACAGCCTCATTACAGACCTACCAAATCCAGGGAAAGCCTAAAACATAGCTTTCTCTGCTTGCAAAACATTTTCTGGGGCCTCTCAGACTGACTGTTTTAGAGTCCTGTGTCCTTTTTAAACCCATTTCTACAGTGACAGAGCCTCACACTGTCACATACCCCCCCCCCCTTTGTTTCGATCCGGAGGGCGGAACACCTGCACCCGCCATTGCAGTTGGGACAGCTCGGTGCTGGCCATCAGCCATGTAGGCCCAACCCTTATTTCAGGTATGCTTCCAGGTACGCCCTACCCTGAATCTCAATGGGATCCTACAGTTCCTTATTCTCAGCCTTCTCCCTCTTCTCTTGGAGTCCCTTGGCTTATTCTCTTTTCCTGGGGTAACTCTGCCTTCCTCAATACTGCCTTTCAAGTCACCTTCTGGATCTTGTAGGGAATCTGCCTCTGATGAAGAATCAACTTTTCTCTCATCTCTACCAGTTTTACACTTCACTTTAGGTCTTTCAGGTTCAAAAACCTCTGTCTGGCTACCCATGGCAACCAAATCATTGTTAATTACACCAATCAATACTAGATCCCAAATTCCAGTATCACTACTTTGTTTCTCAGTGGTTGTTAGGATTAGACCTGAGGAGGGACCACACACAGGCGAGAGACTATGACCTATGGGACCATCGCAAAGCTCCACCTCACCTGTTGTCCAACGCTCCATGGTTAGCTGTCCTAATAAATTACACTGATCCAAGCCCAAACCATTTCTTACTGCAATAATGTAGACTGGTGTACACATTACATTGTTACAGTAACCAATACTTTTAGCGCTTTCTCCCATGGCGTCTCTGGGTACATTAACTTTTATCTCTTTGTGAGTGACAGAAAGCATCTCCGCTGGTGCTGCGTCTATTCTGGGCCCTTCCTTCACATGAGGTCTAGCGTGTGAGACAGTATCTGCGCCATGTACCAACCATTGCTCAGCCGCACCTCAGACTGCACCAGCAGGAATTCTCCCCATCACACCAAACGGAGAGACCTCTAACATGTCTGTCATTTCTGCTTTCTCAAAAAATTCTCCCGAGCTCCTTCCACACAGAACAGTTGCTGGAAGCACTCTCGTGGGGAACTGTGAGACCACTTTACACACAATTAACCAACATTGTAGTAAGCAGACCAAACTTAGATTAACATTGCTTAGCAGCGCCTGTAACATTTGGCTCCACTGATTGGCTATGCAGTACCAGCTTGTCTGTCTGCGGTGGGGACAGCCAGGTGTACAGAAAACGTGTTTTGATCAACTTCAACATTTCCATTACAAAATACTGCGTTAGATGGAGCTTACGATCATATGAAATAAGTATTTATCTGCTCCATCTTGTGGCTATAATGTGGTATTTATGGCTTAGTCCTTTACTCACATGATCACTGCGATGCAAGATTTAGGAGCTCCCTGACGGCTGGTGACATCTTTGAATGGCTGGCTTCTGGGTATTGAATGCCGGCTGCTTTCATTGGCTGGGGGGGTGGATGGTGTCCCACACATGCGCAGGAGTTCCATCGGCTTCAGTACTGCCAAATTTCTACAGTGAGCTGCACAAGCACAGCTCACTATACAGGAGCGGACAGACAGGTAGGTGACTTTAATGCAGACAAAGCATCTCTTGTCTGCATTAAAACCCCTGCCTGTTCGCCCATTTTTATTTAGTACTTAAAGTTCCACTTTAAAGCTAATTATCCTCCCCATCAACTGAAATTGGACAAAAGCCAAGTGTTTTGATTACATGAACACTACTATAGGGACCCTTCATTTTCCCTAGGGAAGGTAAGAATGTGTGCTTTTATTTTACACTTAGATTATCTATCTTTGCAAGCTTGTCAAAATAAATTCCTTTACTGATATTAGCATAGTAAAATTACATTTATTGTTAGAATTTATCTCTCACAGCACAGGTGTGCCAGCACAGGTGTGCCATCTCCTACTGTAGTTGTGGATTGGGGTATCAGCAGGGGCGGACTGATTATTTGGAAACTCGGGCACTGCCCGAGGGCCCGGGGTCAGTAGGGGGCCCCATGAGATGCCCCTGATACCTTTTTCATAGGCTTTTTTGAGTTTGGGCAAAGACACAGGGGCCCCATGAGTTGTCAGTCCGCCCCTGGGTATCAGTCTGAATGAATAGTAACACAATGGGGTAGATTTACTAAAACTGGTGCACTCAAAATCTGGTGCAACTCTACATAGAAACCAATCATCTTCTAGGTTTTTATGTTAAAGCTTATTTGAACAAGCTAAATGTCAGTTTTTAGTAAATAATCCCCAATGCATATAGTAGTGGTGTCAGTTACTGCGTGCTATGTTACTCTAACTCATAGGTGTGAAGCCAGCCTTAAAGTGGTATTAAACCCAAAAGCAAACATTTTTATATTGCAGCTTACCAATTCTTGCACGTGATGGCTGTATTAGTTTCCTCTGTTTAGGCTTTCTTGTATTTTCATCTATTTTTGTGAACCAGCCAGCAAGTCAAGTCTGTGGTTTTTTAAAAGCACAGCCTTTTCAGCTCTCCAGCAGAATATATCAGTTTTGGATGAGACAAACTACTTAATACTGGCACGGGTGAACAGAATGATAATCTTTTATTTAGTCATGCAAAACCTTTATCCCAAAAAGAAAAATACTGTTTGCTGTAAATGTGAGCTGGAGTTTGGCTTCAATTTGTTAGTGTGCTAAATCTGCTAATACATTTAACCCCCCCCCCCCCCCACTGACATTGGTGCTGTCTGCTGTGCCTCCTGTGCTCATTCCTCCAGAGTGGTGTGTCACTAATACCGGAGGTGTGTTACTGGCCATATCACCAGGTGACAACTGAGGGAAAAAGCTAAATGTGATACATTTTTAGTTTTGGGTTTAATGCTGCTTTAACAGATATAGATCTAAGGATCTTTCTAACAATTAACATGCGTTTGACAATGAGAATAATTTCCTAAAATCTAAGGTTTGTGGCTGTTTTTTTACATAAACTTCTATTTGTTGGTTTCTTCTTACATGAGCAAAATAACCCCAACTGGAATCTGGGAAAATGGACATGGTGTGGACTACACAATATTACATGGACTAAGGACAGGACGAAACAGTAGTGTGGTTTTACTGTCCTACATATACAGTAACCACTCTGAAGATGCAAAGCAGTCACTTCATGGAGGCTCACACATAAAGCATATAAATAAAATGAAGAAACCTCCTTAGCGTCATTAAGCAATACAATCTTATAGCTATCACTTTCCAGACTTGCCATGTCACCGCTGGTCCCTACCAATATATACATGCCATTCTGGTCCCTGCTTTCCTACCGCATGTGTGAGCAATCCAAGTTCAAGAGCCTATGAAGCCAGGATGTTATTACTGCACTTATGTGAATGAGCTTACAAAAACAGCCACTGACCTTTTGTTATTTCATTAAACAGTAAATATTAAGACATAAATCACACACTGTATGGCTATTTCGCTATTGTCTGATAATAGGCTTTTTCATACTTTAGACTCTTTATACAAAAAAATATATATATATAATCGGTGGTAGCCTTTTCTGAGAAGTAAAGCAAGTAAATATATAAAGTGAATAAAGACTGCAATTTAGCAAAGAGACTCACCTGCTTGGTTGGTGGTAATATTGACGGACACATGTTGGGGAGGGAATGGGCTTTTATTGGTTACTCCATTTACAGCCTGGATCTCAAATGTATATGGTGTGTGAGCCCATAAATTGCTGATGAAGACACGGGTGTCTGTTAGTCCCATTTGTCGGGGAACAAAATCTACATTATCATCACACCGTGAGCAACTCCTCCGGTCAGAGCGGCACTTCTTGCAGATAATGTTGTAGGTGACGTCATCCCTGCCTCCGGTTTCACGTGGGGGGTGCCATTCCAATGTGATTGACGTCTCATTCACTATAGAGATAACATTACGAGGTCCAGAAGGAACACCTATTGAAAAAAAAAAAAGTAGAATTAATTAAAGTATAACTAAAGACAAAACTTTTTTTTTAAGTTTTATTAGATTAGACTGTCAGCGTTTTATTGCTACCTCTGCACCTGTTAAGGAGATTTAACCTTTTCCATTTGTCCTGTTTACCATTTTTATTGAAAGTGAAAATAAATGAAAATTCCACATTTTGGGTTGTCCCCAGTGCAGGAATAGAGGAGACAATTGGGACACTAGTTCCTGTGACCTGGTGGTGGCGGGGTCCTTAATTTGCAGGGATTTCCTCTCACTTCTTGTTCCAGCTTTGGGACAGGCAGTGAAGGGAAATCTCCCCAATGAGACACAGATGGCACAAAAAAAAAACTGACAGAGGTTCTAACCCTCCCTTCCTCTACCCAAAATGAAAACAGAAATGACTATAGTTCTACTTGGGAACACAATTACACTCCGGTCACATTGGGTGTGACTTGGCATGCAATTTTCATGCCATGAGAGTTGCAAATCGTATGCCAAGTCACACCCTATTGTAGGCAATTAGAGAGGTCAAATTGGTGCGCGTCCGAGTTGGTCAGAGCAGCACCGATTTCTAAAGTAGTACATGTACTACTTTTGGTACAATTTGCATAGACATCTGTGTCATATGTCTTGCAAATCGCACCTGAATTTGGCATCTCACCTGACTTTGAAATTTCAAAGTTGGACTTGATGTGACCAGGGGGTAATGCAGAGTTTCTCAACCAGGGTTCCATGGAACCCTAGGGCTCCTCCAGAGGTTACTGGAGGTTGATTAAGCAATGAGAAATTTCTGCCTCTCAGATAGGTTCCCACTGACACCACTGATCATGTAAGCTATCTGTAAATGGGGAATTCTTCCCAATGACCACATGTGTAAGGAACATTCTTAGCAGGGGTTCCCTGAGACTGGCACCACAATACTGGTGATAGGCATTAAAGAGAACTGCCAACAAAGAGCATTTTAAATAACCTAACCCTCAACCATTAAAGTGGTTGTAAACCTCAGACATGAAATATAAACAAATCATATCCCTCTATAGCAGTGGTTCTCAACCTGTGGGTCGTGACCCCTTTGGGGGTCGAACAACCCTTTCATAGGGGTCGCCTGAGACCATTGGAAAACACATATTTCCGATGTGTAAAGAGCAGCTACTGTGTAGAAAGCAGCTGCTGTGTTGAAAGCAGCTACTCTGTTAAAAGCAGCTACTGTGTTGAAAGCAGCAGTATTGGAGGTAAAACGACACTTCATGAATTATAATTACTGAGTAAATAATTTTATGGTTGGGGGTCACCACAACAGGAGGAACTGTATTAAAGGGTCGTGGCATTAGGAAGGTTGAGTACCACTGCTCTATAGTGTGTACTTGTCTCAATTAAAAGCTTTAAGTGTCATTTTCATATGCAGCTTCATTCCTCTGGTATCTGCATGAGTCATTTCTGAGGAGTTTTCTGACACCTGAAAAATGGTGAAAGGGGAGGGACCTCCAGCAGATTGACAGCCTCAGTTCTGTTCCAGTGAGCTGTGTGAAGGGGGAGGTGTCCCATACCTTCAATCGGCTCCCAGAGATCTCTTCGCTGATGTAATTTCAGCTCCCCACCACCTGCTTTTCTGAGCTGAGAGATCCTGTGTAAATTCTGCACTTTGAATGGATGTAGCAGACAAATGGCTGTTGATAAACAGGTGCAACTTATATAGTAGGATTTGTTTCATCTCTGTGTATCACCTGAGGCTGGTCACTTCACTGCATATATGTAAACCACTTTGACTTTTATACATATCTTTTATACATGGAGTGTGCTTTTTCTTGTAGCGTCTTCTTGTTGCAGCATAAATGACAGTCTATTGTTAATCCATAAAGCCCCTATGCAGGTTCACCTGTCCCATGCCAGACCTCAGAACTGATAATTAATACCCTGTAAGGGCTGCCAGAAGGGAGCAAAGCTGCCAATTAACAAAGCCTTCAGTTTTCCTGTCAGCAGGCAAAGTGCTAAGACCCACAGCCTGATACTTGAACTGACACTACTGCTCAGAAAGAAGGAGAATACGAGAAATAGTAAAAAGTAAACCATCAAAGGAAAGGAAGCACTATTGTAACAAGGGTGAAAATTCACACTATTACAGAGGGCTTTTGGTGACGGATTCTGTTTGAATACAGACAATTAGTTAGTTGGTCTGTGCAACCTCACTACAATTCCTTTATTATTATTACAAGATTTGTATAGCACGGTTTGTGCAACACTTTACAAAACAAAGAGAGACAGTATAGTTACAATGCAATTAAAAAACAAGAGGGTTGGGAGGCCTGCTCTTGGGGGATTTAAAGTACTGTTTGATACAAGATGGCCTCCAAAGGTGACCACAGACAGACTGAGAAGACCAGATGATAGAGGCAGATAAAGCCGGCTGACCATGTTGCAATGAGAAGAATGCACTGTATAAGAGAGATAACTTTGTCCAATCCATATTGTTCTCCTGGAGATAAGTTGGTGCTGGTAGTGACTCTTCCATGCTCCCTTCTGTTTCCTCCCCCGTAGCCAGAAATGTGAATGCTCAAGTGACCTAAGTAGTTCATGCCTGCATCTAGTCAAAAAGATCTCTTCCATTGGTTTGATTATACCTAAATGTCAGGTTGTTATCTAAGGTCCATAGTCTGCAAAACTGAAAGGTAAAGAAAACAAGCCTTAGAAGAAATACTGGGCTGCCATTTTTGAAACCAGGCAAAATTCTAGTTGCCTGGTTTCACTGAACCAAAACAAGTTCTCAGTTCTCAGGCCAGAAAAAAAAAATCAGAAGTCCTTTTCTTCACATTTGTCCTGAAAGGACAGCAATTTTAGCCTCCAAGATTCTCTCAGGGCAGTCAGAAACCTTAACATTTTATGAAAACAGTACATCTAGGTAGGTATACAGCACAATATTCATACACATTGTCGGACCTAATGTTTGGATAAACATTGCAAAATTGCATACAACAGAGGAGACAAGGAGTTTGAATTCAAGACAGCTATTTAAAGTTAGATACTTTATGCCACAAAGCCTAAATTAATTCTGCGAAGCACTGTTCACTTTTGAACTAATTACATGTCATAATGGAGTTAAAAAAAAAAAAAAAAAATATATATATATATATATATATATATAAACAATTGAAAACTTAGCGCTGCATGTGGCTCTTCCTATCAATGACAGCATAAAATAGGGCTGGATACAGCAATGGATTCTGGGTGTTTTGTTTAAGAGATCCCCCAATTTGTGTAGTACAATCCAATTCTTTAGAAATAGAGACAGCAATTACTGGGTAATACTTGGATTTAAAACAAATGAAATATCAGTGCTCAAGTGCTATAGAGAAATAGAAAGATGTCTTGACTGAACACGAGGTGGCTTGTACACTTGATAAAATCCATGGTGCCAGGGGTTCACTCATGGCTTTGCTACCCTCTTCAGATTGGGGCATCGTGTACTCTAAAAGCGTCTTCCCTCAGTACTTTGCTCATAAGAAATACAACTCTAAACAATAACTGCAGAAAGAATCCTCCAATGAAAACTGATACCTCCACTTGGGTGGGTGCCATCAATGTGAATTACCTAATGCCTTTTAATTTCCACTCGGAACGCCAATGGTAAAGTCTCTACACATGAATTAAGAACTTTGTACACCCAAAGCACATTTTTACCAGGCAAACATGTTTTCTCTGCTGGGTTTTACATTTATTATAGAATGCAGTACAGTTTTTAGAAGACCAAATTCTTAGCCTTCAATCTGAAAAGAGATTTTGATAAAGCTCATGAACTATGATAGCTACTTAATATCCAGACTTCCAAAATAAGCCTGCTAAAATGGAGTAGCAGGGGTTGTGCAACCATGAGATGCCCCCCCCCCCCCAGAGCATACATAGCTAGTATAGGCTGTCCCTTTCCCGTGCCCTATTTTGGTGAAAACAGAGGACCTAAGAAAGATCTGCTTTTCCTTTCAGGCTATAGAGCTTTTACAGACACAACCGTGCTTTTATACTATTTTACTTTACAGTTATCAAACACGTCCGCTGGGATTCCTTGTCTAACATTTACTATCCGTTCAATAAAGTTAGACTTTGTGACTTTGTGAACTCTTTCTATTTTAACACTCAAGTGCCACAGCATGATCTTGCCTCCCTCTCTATGGAAAATGTCGTCCTTTTGAACCTTGCTGCAATGTTAATGTAGTACTAACACATCTGTGGTTCTGTCTCTGTAAGATGTAACCTGGACACAATGGAACAATGACAATTTACACAAAATTCTATAGTTATTATGATGACAAAAAAAAGCTGCTCACAAAAAAGGATCCCACTGCTAGGATATGCTATCTACAAAAATCCTGTCTACTTACAGAAAAAGGAAAAGATTACTTTTGTCTTAAATATTACTCCTTCTGAAAACTTTCATTTTAGTAATTCAGGCCAGTGAACTTACCAACACTTGTGATCCTGATAATTTACCAACAGCAGGATTGCTAGAATATGCAGGGAGAACATTCACCTGCTTTATATCTGTCACTATAAAAACAACAAAATAGAGTGCACCAGCATAGCGCATTACCATCATACATACTTTATTGATGAATAAAAGCAAATAACAAACTCACAAATACATAAAGTCAACAGGCATACAAAAAAATCAAGATGTGACTTTTACCAAATCCACAACATTTAGCTTGTAGCATGGGAAGACCTTTCAGCATCCAATTTGGCTTACGCATTTCAAAGCGCAACCCCTGTGGCTCTGAATATCATACCAAAAAGAGAGACAGCTGAGGAGGAAACAGGCAGAGGCATTTGGTTTCAAAAGTGGAACAAACCCTCCAAATGATGGACAGTTGGATGGGAGCCATGTGTGTAAGGGATTGCATGGGGCTAAAAACAACGAACATTCAGGCATTTTACATTATTGTGTTTAGGAAATAAATGTAATCATTTCTTATTGAATAAATAATTGTATTCAGTTGTG